GAATAACAGAAATGTGGATTAAGGGAGACAATGGACAGTATAAGACATGAAATAACAACAATAATCTACCAAGGATTCACATTGGTGGGAGGAAGGGGAAAAAAGAGGAGCTGATACCAAGGGCTCAAGTAGAAAGAAAATGTTTTGGAAATGTTGATGGCAACATATGTACAAGCGTGCTTAATACAATTGAATGATGGATTGTTATAAGATCTGTAAGCGCCCCCCCCCCCAATAAGATGATTAAAGACAAAAACAAAACATCACATGTGCTTCCTCTGAACTAGAGGTTGGCCCGATGCAAGTTCTTCTTCTTCCTTTTAGAGCAAGGGTCCTCCATGGGGGGCAGTGTGTGTCCTTTCCACCCCAGAAGGTGGCCCATACTGTCTGATTGTTTGTTTTTATTAGCGGTTGGGTTTATCTGGGTGTTACTAACCCACCCTTTTAAAGCCCCCTCACTTCCCAAATTTCCTTCCGGTTTCAACAGCCACTGATTCTTGCCTAACTCCATTATTCCAATAGAAGCGGCAACCTGGGGATAGTATTCTATCATTTCTCTTTCATTCATTTTCCCAGATTTTCTAGAAAGAACTATTAGGTTTCTCTGATATAGGGAGTTCTAACAGGAAATGAAGGATAAATACTTGATTTCCCCCATTATTCCCTCCCCCCTATTTCTTAAACTTCAAATATTGAGTTGGTGTCCAGTCCCCTTGAAAAGTGATCAATGAAAAAAAGAAAAGTGATCAATGAAGTTTATGGGGTGTGGTTTTATTTTTTTTCGGGGGGTGGAGTTTCGATTACTGTTAGGATGCATGGGCTTTTACAATATTAGATATGTTCAATATGTTGTGGTGGATATTGTTACAATCGCCTCCTTTCGATAGCTTCCTTGTGTTCTGATTTGACAAGATGTGTCAGCCCTGTCCTGTGCTCGTCCTCCCTAGACGCGGAATCGACTGTTTGTGGCTCCTGCGAGCGGGAAATTGTGGGTAGTGATCATCGTTTGAGCCCTGGGGTGCTAATTGCCGCTGGGTTAGCCCTCCAACTTTTTGTACCGGTCAGATGGATCACTTAGCCCTTTGATCCAAACACACAAGTGAATCACAGAGCGGCCCAGGATTTCGCAATGATGGTTACGGGCACAGAGCACCACTGCCTTCCACGGATCGCAGGGAGCACGTTCCACGTGATGAGTACACAGAGGCGTTGTCCAATGACCAGCCCTGTATCAGAGAGTGACTGCACTCAGGTAGCTCCCAGTCTGATAGGAGGTTAACGTGCAGAAAGTTCGAACACCTGGCTGGCAGGAGATGTTTCCAGTCTCTCGCCTGCCCTGTGCACCCCCACATTGCTCAGGCAGGAGCTTCCATCCTCCCATATGTCTTCTGCTCCCCTTCAGTTGGAGAGGAGATTGAGATGACCCCCATGGTGTTTGCCAAGGGCCTGGCCGATTCTGGTTGCTGGGGAGACAAGCTCTTTGGGCGCCTGGTGAGCGAGGAGCTGCGAGGGGGTGGACGTAGCTGTGGCCGTCAGAAGGCCTCCCAGGCCAAGGTCATCTATGGGCTGGAACCTATCTTTGAGTCGGGCCGAACCTGCATCATCAAGGTGTCCAGTCTGCTTATGTTTGGGCCAAGCAGCGAGACTTCTCTCCTGGGCAGAAACTACGATGTCACCATCCAGGTACCAAGTCCCAGCCCCATTCCCAGCGCCTAGCCCTCCTCCCCATCCCTGTTGTTGTTTTTTTTTAAAGCCCCGTCCCCTTTTCTGGCCCGGGCCATCTTGGGAAACAGAGGCAGAAACCATCCTAGTCTGGACCTTATGAAGCACCTGGCATCCACCTTGGCCTCAGAGAACTTGAGGAAGCCAAACCCGTTTGATCCGTTATTTTCAAACTGCGGATTTGCAGTGGGGACTTTTCTACCTGCCCCCAAATATAATCTGACGTGGAGGCCCTACAGCACCGCCCTTGCCACTGAGTCTGTTCTAGGACAGAGGAGAACTACTCTTCAGGGTTCTTGACACTGTCCATCTTTATGGGAGCAGACAGCCTCATCTTTCTCCCTTGGACTAACTGGTGGGTTTGAACTGCCTGCCTCGCTCCCATCTCAACAGCTCAAGGCTTAACCCGATGGGATGCCAGGGCTCCTCGGAGACCTTTTCTAAAACCATTCTGACTCGTGGCAGCCCTGGCTAGGTGAGATGATGTGGAGGTTACTGTGGATGGGGTAGATGGGCTAGTGCTCTGCCTGGTCTACTCCTTACACAGGGTGGCCCTTCAGGCACTGCCCCTGTCATTAGGGTTACAGAGAGCACTGTTTGGAAACCACTATGAAAAACTCACCTCAGCTGACAAAAGTCCAAAGCCCCTTATTTTACAAAAGATAAAAATGAGGCAGGGCAGGTGGGTGCTCCATTTTCCCCAGGTGCTAAATTCTGCCCTGGAGCCCCACGCAGGTAGCTCTCGCACTTAGAGCGGCTAGGCATGTCAGAGACCGGAGGTTCTCTGTTCATCTCACTTGGTTCCCTCTCATCCACAGGGCTGCAAGATCCAGAACATGAGTCGCGAGTACTGCAAGATCTTTGCGGCCGAAGCCCGGGCTGTGCCTGCTTTTGGGGAGGTGCCTGAGTAAGTGCACAGGGATGGGGATTAGGTCACGACAGGTCGAGGGCCTTGGGAGCACAGTGCTTGCCCAGCCTCCTGGGCATCCTGGGCTTTGGCCATATGCAGTGGGCCCGCAGCCCCTTCTACGTGCGACACAGTGGGTCCTTTATTTCAAAAGCTAGAAATAAAGACCTCCAGGTTCACGCTTCCCTTTGAGAAGGCCTCTGTCCTGATCACAAGCCTTCTCTCATCCGAATCCCTGTACTCCTTAGCCCTTAGTTTCCGTCTGCAGATTCCAGGCCTCTCTGGAAGCCATCGGGGATGGGCACCTTGGGGGCTTTTCTGTGGTAGGCAGGCAGGGTTGGTGTGGAGCTTTGTAGGCATCAGAGATCAATGGGCATGGCTTTTATTTTGGGACTGGAATCCTGATTCTGAACATCCAGGGCCTGACACTATTGAGTCACGACTGGTGTGAGCCTTGCCTGGAGGTGTTCTTCTCGGACACCTCCTCTCCCAGCCCCTCACCTACGCACCCCCACCCCCACCCCCCCACCCCCGCCCCAGCAGCGTTCCTCCCAGTGCCCTGGGCTTCCATCCCCACTCCTGAACTCGGGGTAGAGCTTCCCTGACCAGCTGCCCTTCTGGCTCAGAACTGAGAACCTTATTCTTGGTAGGGACCGCCTTTGAGAGCTGAGAGTGTCCGTTGGGATGGAGGGGTGAACTCTCTGGAGCCGTGCTTCCTGCTCACCGCAGGATGAAACTCTGTGTAGGGTCATCCCACTGTATCTGATCTACCGGCCTGCCAACACTATCCCCTATGCCACGCTGGAGGAGGACCTGGGCAAGCCCCTGGAATCGTACTGCTCCCGGGACTGGGGCTGTGCTGGGGCTCCAGCAGCATCTAGCAGCTCTGAGGCCATGCAAAAATGCCAGACCTTCCAGCACTGGCTGTATCAGTGGACGAACGGCAGCTTTCTTGTGACAGATTTGGCAGGTATGAGGGTGTGCACTTGCGCGTGACAGCATGTGTGTGTGAGAGAGCATGTGGCAGGGCAGAACCCAGTGCCGGTTGAATAGCTGAGCAAGCACCAAAGCACTTTCATGCTTACTCTCTCGTGCTCTTCACAGTAACCTGGTTTGAAAGCACCCCTAATACAGGCCAGGCCTTCGTGTCATGCAGCCGCTAACTCAGTTTGCGTTGGAAGGATCGGGTCAACAGGGGCCACCCTACCCTGTCCGATAGGGCTGCATGAGCTGCCAGCAACTTGATGGCAGTGATGGTTTTGGGGGTGAGGTGGGGGGTTTTGAGTCTGACCCCAAAGTTAAAAAGGCATTTGTCTCCCAGAACATGACACTGGATCTAATCAAAATCCGCAATCCCCGTTCTTAAACTCTCCCTTCCTCCCTGCCCTGTAACTGCCCCTCTCGTATGCTGGCTTTCACTGGAGAAGAGAGTGCCTTACTGCCCTTCTCCTCTTCCTCCCGCGGTCATCTCTCTCGCCGTTTTAGCGTCCTTTCTTTTTCTCCCGTTACCCAGATTCTTCCTCCACAAAGGAAGGCCAGCAAGCCTGGCTGCTTCTTCCCTCTCTGCCTGGGCGGCTCCAGGCCTGTTGTCTTAAACCAGAAGTGGAAAGGCGAGAGAAAAGGACAAAATCCTCCCAACAACGGGAGGGAAGGAGGGCTGGGACTGTCACATATTATTAAACCTCATCCTTGGCATAAATAGATGATAAGTCCAAGGATCAAAGATATCAACCCAGATGAAACGTGCTTTGGGGGGAGTTTAGCTTTACAACAAATATTGTACAGATAACTCCAGATAGGCAAAGTGGGAGAGGCTAAGTAACACACTAAGCCATTATCACTGACCTCATTACTTGTAAATTCATGCTCCTTCCATCCATCCATCCATCCATCCATCCATCCATCCATCCATCCAACCAACATTTACTAAACATTGGGAAGATATAAAGACGAACAGGCATAGATCTTGTCCTCAAGATGTGACCCAGTTTTACAACAAGGTGATAACAAGGTATAGCAGAAAGATTTTGGAGCCAAAGACATTTGAGTTCAGTCTAAGCTTGCTTGTTTTCTAGCTGGGTCCCTGTTTTGCAGAGGAGAAGATGAAAGCACAGACAGGCTAGCTTACACTACGTCCTGAGCTCCAGTTCCCTCCTCACTGCAGGAATGGTATCCCTCTGCCTGACTCCCAGACTAATTGAGGCCCCTTTTGTAAAAGCCTTGTGTCAAACGGTCCATTTCTGCACAAGTAGACGAGATGGTCGTTACTGAAATACAAGATAGAGTTTGACAATGGCTGAAAGAGACGCCTAGGAAGCGAATATTTCCCCTGGGTGTAGGATGTTTCAGGCACTCGGTTCAAGTCCTGCATGTAGACGGGATCCCTCCAACACCCCTGGTAGATGGGGCATCATTAACCCCACTTACATGGATCCGAGATCTTCAACGACTGGCCAGATTCACACAGCTCCAAAGTGAAATAATTCTAAATCCCACACATGCTCTCCTCTCTCAGGCTGTGCTACGCAAGCCTAATAGTGAGAGGCAGGCAAACTGGCCAAAGAATGCGTTGTGGATAGCGTGGAGACAGGGGAAGAGGGCCACCAGCTTACTGCATGTCTGCTGAGATGCCTGGACAGACTGACCAGGGTAGAGACACTTTTCCTCCATCACTGTGTTGCCTGCCTCTGTTCCTCCAAGGATACCTTAATCAGAAGTCCACCTTGGCTTCTTGGTGCGCTGTGTGTCTTTGTGATAGTGTACAAGCCCATCTGGTCCAGTGTCATCTTCCCACTCCAGTGTCGTCACCCCTGATGTACCCTTACTCTTCCATCTCCTTCCTCCCACCCACCCCTCCTGGATAAACTAGTCTGTTCAGAGTAAGAGTAAGAGTACCCTTACTCTTCCATCTCCTTCCTCCCACCCACCCACCCCTCCTGGATAAACTAGTCTGTTCAGAAGGAGGAGGAGGATTTAGCTCAAAGCCAGAGCCCCACAGTCTGTGTGGTCTGAGCTGACCCAGGCCACATGGGATCACATCGTTGGGAGAGCTCGGGACCCGGGAGTCAAAAAGAGGAATTTACAACCTGACTCACCTTGATGGGTCAGTGATTAGTCAGCACTCAATCACTGAACAAAGAATCATGTGACCTTGTTCAGGCCACTGGACATTTCCTCACCTGTAAAAAACGGGGATGTGGTGACTACGGATAAGAGAGAGAGATACCAACACTGCCTTTGCAACAGGCTGGTGGTGATGCCCCGGGGAAGGGTTGCCTGAAGAAGCCCTCTGAGCCCTGGGATGTTCCCGTCTGTGTTAGTCTGGGTAGACTAGAGAAACAAATTCATAGAAACTCATGTGTATAAGAGAGAGTTTTATATACAAGAGGAATTGAACGTTGAGAAAGCATCCCAACCTAGTTTAGTCCAAGCCCATAAGTCTGATATTAGCCCATATGTCGGATACCAATCTATAAAGTCCTCTTCAGACTCATGAAACACATGCAATGATGCCAAATGCAGGATGATCACAGGCCAGTGGGCAGAAAGTCTTTGGATCCAGTGGCGTTATAAGCATCTCAGTGCTGGCAGGGGTCTCCATGTGGCTTCTCTAGCACCCAGGGCTGCATCAGGGTAGGTCCATGCGGCTTCTCCTGGGGATGTCTCGCAGGAAGTGAGCCTTGTCAGTAGAGTGTCTTGCAGGGAGTTAGAGAAGTGTCTCCCACCTCCAAGTAGGAAATACTAGAGTTTTTCCCAGAATCCTCAGGAGAAGGCCATGCCCACACAGAGGACTCATTGGCTATGATCTGATTGACAGACTAGACTCCGCCCCTTCACTCTTAATCCTCTCAAGCCCCAAATTGACACCAGATTATGTAACTACCACACCGTCTAAAGCAGCGGTTCTCAACCTGTGGGTGGTGACCTTTTGGGGGTTGAATGACCCTTTCATAGGGGTTGCCCGATTCATAACAGTAGCAAAATTATAGCTATGAAGTAGCAGCAAAAATAATTTTATGGTTGGGGGGGTCATCACAACATGAACTGTATTAAAGGGTCGCAGCACTAGGAAGGTTGAGAACCACTGCTCTAAAGCAATGAGCATCCTTACACCCAGGCCTTGGTCCAGGTTGGGGGGCGGGAGGCTCACGGGCATGAACCCCACACCGCCTCTCTCTGCAGGGGTTGACTGGAAGATGACTGACGTGCAGATTGCCACCAGACTTCCAGGGTGAGTGCTTCTGGGGCGCAGGCTCCCTCAGAGAGTCTTCTCAGAGTGAAACGTGGCCTCAGTTCTTCTGGTTCTCCATCCCTGGAGCACTGAACCTGAGGCCAAATGGCCCCAATCACACTGGTGACCATGTGGCAACATCCTGGGGCTGTCCACCCCCACCCTCTGCTCCCTGACCCCAGGCGTAGACAGCCAGCTCATGACCACGGTCCAAGGTCCAGGGCCCATTCAGAACCCTGTAGTACTGTGTTTGTTCTCAATGTACCTCTCCCTACCCCACCTTCCTGCTCGCCTGAGAAAGCCCATCCAGGTGCAGATGAGCAAGGCCCTCGTGGTTAGAGTGAGGACCGTGGGTCCACTCTGCTTAACGTGATAAAGGAAAACGACTTTCATACCAGTTAATGTCTTCTCTGGTGAAGGCCGTGTGCTGGAGTGTAATGGAGGTTGGGGGTGCTGCCACTTGAGGTTCCCTACCACCCCAAGGTAGAATAGGGGGTGCTCTGGGTACCAATGAGCAGGGACATCCCAAAGTCTGCCCCCAAGGGGTTCCTTTCTGGGTCGGGGAGCCAAGTGCCATCCTAGGGCCTCAGCTCTCCCTATTTGGCACAGATACCAAGGTCTCAAGGAGAGCTGTTTCCCTGCCCTGCTCGACCAGTTTGCCTCCACACACCAGTGCAGCACCTACTGTGAGATGCTGGCGCTAAACGCCATCAAGGTCCCCGAGGTCAAGGCTAAAGGCTCCAAGAGTCCAACCTACGGCAGGAAGGGTGCCCAGCTGAGTCCTCAGCCCCAGAAGAAAGGCCCGCCCAGTCCTCAGGGCACACGAAAGAGTGCAAGTACGAAGGCCACTCCTCAGACCCCAGAGGCAGTGACTGCCCGCTTACTGGGACAGCCCGCCACCCAGGCAGGAGACGCCAAGGCCCAGGGCCTGCGATAGCCCTCACAGGAGGCTGGGGGCCGCCACCCAGCAGCAGACCAACCAGGAAGCAGCTTGAACCCAATGGAGACTTTGGCAGTATGGAACTGGAGACCGAGCACTGAGGAGGGCCCCGCGGGGGGACCCCTCTGAGCAGCCTCTCCTCAGTCGGCTCCTCATCAGATGGCCAGTGCATGGCCCACCGCCCACCAACCTCTCCTGGTGTCATCCACCCCCCAGGACTCCAAGTGCCTAGTGGCCTGGGCCCCCCTGATGTTTACACTCGCCACTGCTGGAGGCTCCCGGAGTCCTCTGCATGAGTTCGGCACCCCACCCTGCGCCCCCACAAACCCTGCAGAGAGAGTGGTCCTCTAGGGGTTCTCCTGCAGGCTGGCACCTCCCTCACCCCCTCACAGGGCCCTGCTTCTGCCCTGTTCTCAGGGCGCCAGACCTGTGTGTGTCTGGTCTAGCTCATGTCTCTCAGGGTCTCTTCTTGCAGCTCCTTTGTCTGACTCACCCCGCTTATCCTGCATCTAACTGCCCTCAGCCCGGACGGAGCTCAGGGCCCTTCCCGAGCTGCCGCGCCCTTGTGCAGTGGTCTTTGATGAGTGTTCAGATTCCTGCTATGTCCCACCACTCAGACACCCCTCAGCTGCCCTTGCCCCTTGCCCCTGCACAGCCCTACCTTGGAATCCACTTGCATCCTGCTGCCTGCCCTGCCCTGGCCCTTTCTCCAAGGGCTATTCTTACCCTCACACCTACCTGCCCACCAATACCCAGGAGGGGAGCAGACCCCCTGGCCTCTCACTCCACCCCAGTACACTTCCCCCACCTCCCTAGGAGGGGAGGGCCGAGATGAGGATGTTGTCAGTCCCTGTGGACGGAGGGAACATGTTGATTTTCAGGGGCCTTGTGCTCCACACTGCAAGGAGGCGGGGTCACAGGGAATTTCACACCCCCTGTCCACCAAGTAGAGGGCTGAGAGACTGCCCTATGGCGTGGGGGATGGGGCTAGTGGGGGAGGGAGCGGCCCCTAAGGAGAATGTAATCCGTCTGTGTGCTGTGGTGGGAGCCAGGACCCCTGCCAACCATTAGATCCTGATCTGGGGCTCCAGCTCTGGGGCCTCCTGTATGGACCCCCAGGAAATGGCTCTGCTCAGCCAGCACCCTGATTCCTTCCCGTCTTGAAGCCTGGGATGGGTTGGGTGTGGAGCTAGTCTGCTCCCCTTGGAATGCAATAAACGTAGCAGCTGTGTATCCTGCTCACTCTCATCTGGTGTGGTTGAAAGTGTGTGGTGTCAGGGTCCCCTGTTCCATAGTCCTGGGCCCACTGGGAAATGGAATCCTTGTTATCTCTTCCAAACCGAAGCTCAGGCTCAGCCGTGTGGCTACAGCTAGACAGTCTTTGCTTCCTGGACAGCTGGGCCAGCGGCCCGTGACCCTTACAGCAGGGACTCGGGGTGCATGCCTGTAGGACCGCGCCTTCATTTGGAAGAGGAGCACAAAGGAAGGAGCCAGAAAGGAGCAGAGAAGGATTGGGAGGACGAAGGGATCTGCCTCTGCCTCTCAGCTACTCACTGACCACTGCTTCTCCCTCTGCAGAGAAGCGTCCTTCTTATTCGCCACCCAGGCCCTTTCTCTGGCCCCTGCACTTGACCTTTCTGCTGCTTCTCCTGGTGCTCAGCTGGCTGTCGCTCCACTTTTGTCTCTTGTCCCAAGGGGCCTCCAACACTCCTGGCCGGGCCCCCCAGATTTCCGGGGTGAGCCGAGACTGGATATTGTCTATTCACATTTTCCTTCAGCCAGTAGAAGCTGAGAACTTTAGGCTAGATCTGGAATGAGATCTGCCAGGAGCCAACGAGGTGCGAGGTGGGTTCAGATAAGACTGTCTCCATCAGGGATCTTGGGTTTTGACGGTGAGAAATGGACTTAGACCAATTTAATCAAAGAAAAAGAATTTGTGGGAAGGATGTTGGGTGACTCAGAGGACCAGAGGAATAGCTGAACAATTGGCCTGTGTGAGGGTGCAGACAGAGCTTGTCTACCAGGGGCTGCTGGTTATTGGCAGCTTCATGGCAACCAGGAGGACCCCTCCACTCGGTATTCAAATTGCCAGTAAGAGCGCCTGACACGGAGCTCAAGGTATCATGAATACCATGAGAGAGTTTCTCACAGGATGGAAGCTTCTTACCAGAAGAATGGTGGGGCATGGGAGGGTGCCAGGGGTTGAGTAGGCAAAACACAAGATATCCCTGACATGCAAGCCCACCTGACACATTCCAACTCTCCCAAATAGAATCAAAATGACATTTCTCACTGCTTAGTGGGTGACAGCTGAAGGTGACATCCAGCTTCTATTATAAGGGCAGTGTCCCAGAGTTAGCCTTCTTTAATTCTAGTATGTCTAGTGATAGCCTTCCTCGTGTTTTAATCATAAGCCTGTTTTGAAATTCTGCAGCCTGTCTATTGACCAGTAAAATTAAGCCTATTTAACCAACATCATATAGCCCAGGACGAAAAGAAGTACGGATGAAGGATATATCCATCTTGGTGAGGACAGTGCTCAGACTCACGATTCTTTGCGTGTTGGAGTGAGCCATGTTTTCAGTTCTGCAGTCAGTCTGGCTCCCTGCATTTACGCTGGACGTGGCAGTACCAAGAAGCACTCCATGGATGCCCCACTGCCATCAGTTCCTGTGCTGCCATCTTTCACAGACTGGGTTAGTCACCCCTGCCTATTCTCATAATCTCTTGTTCATCCGACACTGAGACCTATAAGGACTGAGGCGACGAGTGGGCTGCTCCGGGGCCTAGTTTTGTGCTGTATTTTTTTCCTGTAGAGACAAACATCTCTTGACACCAGCCACTCCCAAGGCTTGGCCATCACACAAGTGTTCAGGATGGGTCATCGGCTCTGATGTTAGCTTGCCCACTTCCACACTGCATCCTCACCCTGCAGGACGAATGTCCCCAGGGGTGCCAAGTGTTAGCACGCTCAGCTGCTGATCTGAGAACTGGCAGGCCAAGTCCACCCAGAGTTACCTTGAGTTACCTTGAGAGTCAGACCTGGTGGTTACTCTAAAGACCACCCTTAAAACCCTTTTGGAGCCGCATTCTGCTTCGACACAGCCATGAGTTGGAGAAGGCCCAACAGCAATTCGTAAGTCGGTCTCGGCGGCCAGTTCAGGACTTACAAGGTGCTCCTCCTCAGCTGTGCGGTAGCAACCATGTCTCCATCTACCAGGCCGATTGCTTCTGGGGGTGGTGGTTTCCGACCAAACAAGTGAATGCCGGAGGCATTTACAGCAAGCTCAAGACCTTGTGTTTGCTGGAAAGTAAGTTCCTTAGTTGCAGACATAATGATGTTTAGGACTTTGAATAATTCCATAGATGTCAATGACGAAAGAGGCATGATGGGTAAGGAAATAAATCCAAATGCACAGCAATGGCCTTTATGAATTAAGACGCATGTCTACTCTCTGAAAGCCCTGAGTACATACTGAGGCCCACCCGCTGCCATCAAGTTGATTCTGATCCATAAAGACCCTTTATAGGGTTTCTGAGCCTGCATATCTTTTTTTTTTTTGCTGGCATTTTATTTTATTTATTTATTTTTTTAAAACATTTTATTAGGGGCTCATACAACTGTTATCCCAATCCATACACACATCAATTGTGTAAAGCGTATTTGTACATCATTTCTCAAAACATTTTCTCTCCATTTAAACCCCCGACATTAGGTCCTCATTTTTCCCCTCCCTCCCCGCTCCCCCCTCCCACATGAGCCCTTGATAGTTTATAAATGGGTATTTTGTCATATCTTGCCCTGTCCGACTTCTCCCTTCATCCACTTTTCGGTTGTCTGTCCCCCAGGGAGGAGGTCACACACAGTTCCATGTAATCGGTTCCCTCTTTCCTACCCATTCTCCCTTTACCCTCCCTGTTTTGCCACTCACACCACTGGTCCTATAGGGCTCATCCATCCTGGATTCCCTGTATTTTCAGTTCCTATCTGTACCAGTGTACCTCCTCTGGTCTAGCCAGTCTTGCAAGATAGAATTCGAGTCATGGTAGTGGGAGCGGGGAGGAAACCTTTAGGAACTAGAGGAAGGTTGTATTTCTCATCATTGTTACATCGCACCCTGACTGGCTCATTTCCTCCCTGAGACCCCTCTGCAAGGGGATCTCCAGTGAGCCTGCATATCTTAAAAAGGAACCAGATAGCTTCGTGTTTTTCTAGAAGAGCAGCTGCTGGATTTGAACCACCGGTCCTGTGGTTTGCAATCCAACACACCATCGAGGGAAGCTCAGTTATGTGGCAGGAGTGACCCAGCAGGAGGCTGGCTGAGTAGGCCACATGCACTGCTTCCTGGTGCCTTTCGCTCCTGCAGAGCCCATGCCCACCATGGCAGGGCCACACAACGCCATCTCAGGAGGGACAGCGTGGCCACATGATTGATAGGCTCTAACCAAGCAGGGTGGCTTCTCCAAGCCCAGTGCCAAGCCAGAGTGTTGGGTTTCAAAGGAGAGTAGTTACTTGTTGGCAGAGCATCACTTTGCTACAAAGCCTGGATTCCCTACTGTGTTTTTCTCCTCCGGATTGGCCACCTGCCTGACACAGCAGTCCTCTCTGCTGCAGGTGCCCCACGACCCCTCAGTCCCCACAGACAGACACCTCAAGCACTATCGGGGCTGCCAAGTTAGGAGCTTGGTGCGGAGCCCTTTGTACTAAAGCCTTTCTCAGAGAGCCTTCATGTGTTGTAGATACAACTGAAAGCTGGCAGCCTCCTGGGTCCATCAGAAAATGGGCAGGAGCCAGGTGCTCCCAGGTGGCACACAGTGCCTGGAATGGGCCTTCGTGGTCAGGAGTTCACAATGGAATTTGTCCCACATTAAGGAAGGAATATGCTGCACCCGGCCCTCAATCCCCCAGGAACTTTCTCGAAGGGCAGACCTTTGTTTGACCGTGATCTCTTCCCCACCTCTGCCTTACATGTGTCTTACTAAGGCATCTTGGGAATCTCCAGGAAACCTTGGCATGGCGCCACCAATATAATGGGCATTGTGGGGGTGAAAAGGTCATGGTTCCCCTGAGCCAGGTAGTGGCACAGCTAGACAACTAAAATGTCACATGGTGAATCAGGCAGTATTGCTACTAGGGTTCATGTTCATACGTGCATGGGTTTCTTCACCGAACCAAGACGTGTTTAAACATAGCCCTGCACCAGGGCAGCTGCAGACAAGTCCTCTCAGGAATGCATGTCTTATTCTCAGCAGGACGTCTTTTTAAAAAGGCTGCGGGGGGTGGGGTGGGGGGGTATTATAACAAAATTAAATTAGACATCTTCCCCAATCATCGAAGCTCTGCAACACGTTTACTGGAAGAATGCTGCCCCACACAAGACAATAATGTGTCGATGGATCTGCCATCTGAAGGGTAGCTTCAAATATAAGCCAAGAGCAGGAAGACCATTCATCTGGATCAAGGAAGACATTGTGACTGAAGTCCAGAGACGAGTGGAAGGAGGCCTTAGGGTGACGCCTGACGCCGTGGCTCCTGAAGTTGGCATCTCACGTGGTTTGGCATTTTCCATTTTAGGCGAATGCTTTGGCTGCAGTAAGCTTTCGTCTGGATGGATGCCAACGTGATGTGTGAAGATTAGCTAGCTCAAAGGGCTCATCTTCCTTTTAAGCAAGATCAAAACAAACGAAGACAATTTTATAGAACAAATTGTAACCAGGGATGAGTCTTGGCTTGACCTGTATGAACCAGAGAGCTAGGTCCAAGCACAACAGTGGCTTCTGAGGGGATTTGTTAGGCCAGTTAAATCCAAGGCACAGAGGTCAGCTAGAAAGTTATGGTGACTGATTTGGGGGACTCCAAAGGGGTGATTTTGATAGATTTTCATGAAGGACACCAGGTGACCACCGGAGCTTACTAGGAAAAAGTTTTTAAAAAGTTGGATACTGCATTGGTGAGAAAAAGACCAAGAAAGTAGCACTAAGGAATTTTTACCCCATCACGATGCACCTACACATTCTCTTCTGAGGGTCCTGTGAGAATTTCATTGTGAAACCTTACCCCAACCACCCTGTCCTGTCCTTGCCCCTTCAGACATCTGTGTGTTCCCCAAGCTCAACCCTTGTAAGAGAAACATGAACCAAGTCCCCCGAGAATGCCCAAACTGCTCCTCTTGATGTGATGAAAATTGAAGAGCATGAATTCTTGGGAGAAGGGTCAGAGAGATGGAAACACTAACACCACCCCCATCCCAGGGGTCTATAGATCGAGAAGGAGACTATGTTGAGAAACAGTAGCTTCACACTTGGACATTTTGTGTTTAAAAGAAAGCTTCTATGATTTTGTAGCAATACTATTTTTATTTTGCCTCATAGATGTGAACTAAACAGAGTCTCTTCATGGAGATCACAGCCCACAGGGGGACAAACTCAAAACAGACGAGTAGATGCCGAATGGCAAAGGCATGTGTGACATGCTAGGGCGCAGAAGAAGGCGAGGGACAGCCACCGGGAATGACCTAAGTGAGACTGGGGGTCTGGGCATGCTATTTAAGCTGAGATCTGAAGGGGAAGAGGCACAGTGTACGAGGCGAGCAGGGCATCTAAGAAGGACGGAGTGAGCGCTGGTGTGGGTCATGTGTGTTGAACAAGAGCAGCGGGAGGCCGAGAGAAGCCGGGCCAGGTCGGGTCAGGTAAGGAAGCCCCAGAAAGATTGCATGGAATCCTAAGCACAGTGGCGATTCGGTGAGGATGAACTACAGCTGTAAATAGCCAGAGTCCCCAAATCACCGTACCTCTAAACCAGATGAAGTGATTTCTTCCTCAGGAACAAAAAGTCTGTAGGCAGTAGGCGACCCAGGACATCATGGGAACCCAAGCTCCTCCGGCTCTTCGCTTGCTCTTCCGCCTTGAGCAAGAATAATAATCCACCCCAAGGGCCGTGTCATGGGCAGAAGAAACACAAGTAGTAATAGAATGACTAAATATTAGAGAGGAAGCTTGTGAACTGAATCCTCCTTGTGTATTGTGGGAAGTTAATAGATAATCTCTAAAGCTGAACATTAAACAATATTATTATCTGTGTTTTTTTGTGTATTATCTACGCCCCCCCCCCCACTCCATTAAAAAAAAAGATAGTGGTTACTGGTTTTTTTTGTCTTTAAAGGAAGAACAGCTAGAAGTAGTTATCTGGGGGAGAGGGGGGAGAGGATGATGAGGATGGCCTCTGATTTTTCTCCTGGAGGTGAGATTTGCTTATGTGTCTCTTTGTTGGGTGTTAATTGGATCAGGGCTCCAATCTGGTTCATTCTGGTTCAACCTTCTGCTAAAAATATCTACCCCAGATTTATGAAATCTTAATCTCTGTTTTCATAAGATGACCAAGTGATTCTTGTGGGAATCTTATCAAACTGTAGATTCTGGTTCTGTGGCTCTAGGACAGAAATGCAAATGATCAGCCCTGGGTAGAATTGGAACCAACCAGTTGGGAGCCCTGATTTGAACCTTAACTTGAAACAGAAAGGCTTACAGAGGGTCCTCAACTCTGCATCTCAGGAACCACCTCTTAGGAATTGGGTTATCTACCCAACTCTGTTTGGTAAAGTGGAGGGGCAGCGAAAAGGGGGAAGGCCCTTAGTGGGAGGGTTGACCACGGTGCCTGCAGCAATGGACTCAGCCTAGGCACTGTAGCAAGGCTCCGCAGGACCGGCGTGTTTCCTTCTGTTGTGCATGAGGTCGCTATGGGTCGGAGCTGACTTGATGGCACCTAACAACAGCCACAGCCGTTCCACTGCAGCAAATCCAAGCTCCGTGGTTCAATGGGAGTGGTCCACGTAAGATTGGTGAACTTGGGCCCCCCCAGAGTGTCCTCTCTCCTTACACCTGAAGCTCGCTCTGAGCAGGAGACATACTCCCATGGGGCACTGTCCTCTGACTTCAGAATGGAGGTGGTTCCTGAGCGTGGCCCTGGGTGGCAGCTACCTTACACCCAGCCTCAGGGGAGATCCCACACGTGAGGGTGAAGGACTCTCATCCTGGCACTGGTGGCACATTCCTGGATGGTGGAGTTACAATAGGATGTGAGTATATAGATTCCAGGGCTGAGCTCATGGTCAAGTCCACTGGCCCTGGCACATACATGGGAACAGACAACGCCTTTGCTTTGGGGGCGGACTTGTTTCGTTCGGCAAACACGCTGGAATGCCTGCAGTAGCGTATTGAGCCTTGGGTGGGGCACGGCCTCCCTACGAGCGCAGCCAGCTAACATTTCTGACCAAATGAAAACTGGGTTTTCACACCCAAGCTCCTTGGTGCCACTAAACCTTTGGTGAGGATTCTCACTGAAATACGGCTGTGGACAAAGCCAGGGGCCTCGGGAAAGAGGCTGAGTGGGCCCGTGGAAGGTAGGCAGCAGCAGCAGGAGCTTGCACGGGCCTCGAGCAGCCTTGGAGCCCAGTTCACCCACGGACCAGAGCGGTCTGTACCGGCAGGAGGCTCCTGTTTGTGTGAGACAGAGTTGAACTTTCCCCTTTGGGTTTCTTGTGCGGGTAGAACGCCTTGTCTTTCTCCCTTGGAGCGGCTGGTGGTTCCAAACTGCTGACCTTATGGGCAGTAGTCCAACCCATCACCACCAGGCCCACGGAACTGTCAATCCCAAGTCACATCAACCACCTCCCCCAGCAGACGCAGTTCCAGCCGTGACCTTAGGCTGAGCTGATTCCGTGTATTGTCAAATGCAGCAGGCTAAAGGGGTCTTACTGTTAGGCTTTGTGGGAGCCGAGCGTTTTCTCCATCTCCACAGCTTTCCGGGGAACACTTGGTGGGTTCAAACTGGGAGCCACCCGTCCTCTGCTGCCCCACCAGAGCGCCTTGCTCTCGGGAGCGAGTGGGTAACAATACACACTGCCTCCTCTCAAAAGCATCACCCCCATCAAACGGAAGCCAACTCACTCTGCGCCCCCAGTCACACTGGCTCCCCATGGGGCTCATTCTGTGGAGGGAAGGCTCTCCACAATGTCCCGTGAGATCAGACCACAGCGAGACCCTCAACCAAAACCTGTCATGGGGGTCAGCCCTGACTCCAACTGGCCCTGTGGGTGGCACTCTCACGGTGCCCCGTGGGGTTCTCAGTGGCTCCCCTTGCGGAAGTGGATCATGGGGCTTTTCTCCCACGGCACCTCTGGATGGACCCAAACCTCCACATTTGGGTGAGCAGTCAAGCATGCCGACTGCTGGCACTGCCCTGCGCCCGCTCCCCACTGAGAGCCGGCCTCGAGCCATTCCTAGAGCAGGAGTCTCCTCTCAGCCAAGAAGCCCGCCGAGGACCCACTGACCATTCTGTGCCGAGGAGCTGTGGACTCGCCACTGGCGGGGCGACGTCACCAGGCCCTTCTTGTCCATTAGAGCAAAAGGTCTGTTCGCAGAGCTGAGGGTTCTTAGATTTTCCGGTAAGTCAGGCCTGCAGAATGTGCACTGGGGCTTGCTCAGGAAGTTCTTCCGCGGCGCAGGAGCCCTGATTTCATGAGGCTGGCCAGAGAACAACTCACAGCCCGGGATGGGTTGAGCTGTGTTTCCCTGACACGCTTTGTTCAAGTTCCAACCTCTGGTAACTGAATGTGGAAATGGGGTCTTTGATGTCAACATGAAGTCATGCTGGATGGAGCGGGGTGGGTCCTAGACCATGTTGAGTGGTGGTCTTATAAGAAGAGGAAGAGTGACCCAGAGGAAGAGACACCCGGTGAAGACAGGCAGCGGTGGAAACGATGCATCCACCAGGCAAGAAGCACCAGGCTAGGCAGAGACCAGGAAGGGCCTTCCCAGAGCCTGCCCAAAGAGCATGGCCCGCAGCCCACTCCCTTGCGTTGGGCTTGTCGCCTGCAGAGCTGTGAGGAGATAAATGTCTGTTGTGAGCCACCTGATAGGTGGTACTTTGGGATGGTTCCCCCAGGAAACTACGCTGTTGTAGGGGGCAAATGCAGGCCCAGGATGGAGCTGTCTAGTGGACCTGCCATTCTGTCATCCAAACAGTAAGGGAGGCGGAGCGATGAGAGGACGCCGCATTTGACAACTCAGCTCGTCGAACACTTAGACGGAACGCAGAGCCTGCAGTGCCCCCTTCCCAGCCCTTGCTCCCCTTGTAGGGCTGGTCCCCTGTCCCTCACCGCCGTGAAGGCCAGGTGGTAAAAGTGGTGGCCTGCGCCCACATCTCTGGGTTCCTGTGAGGGTTCATTGAGAGAATGTTCGTAAGCTTTAAGCACAGAGCCTGGCTCTCTCTGGAGCGACAGCAGTCTCATTGTCACACTCTTGGGAGACCAGGATCCACTTTGGACCCACTCGCCCGCTGTCATCCTCCTCCAGGCTGGGAGACCCCAATGTTTGTCTTTTCTCTCAGTGACGAGTGGCTAACAGAGGCTCTGCGACTGCCCGCCAGTCTGCCCAACTCTAGAACTAACGGGGTGTGTGACATGCCCACGGGTACCTACAAAGACGCTACAGTCAAAGCACGTGGCCCACGAACCAGCCAAGGTTCTCCTGCAAATCCCACTGTCACGGGACTGACGGGACTGGACAGAAATAACCTTTGCAAGAATGAAGTGCGCTTCTACAGGCTTAGTGGAGTGGAAAGGCGTGTTTGAGAATGAGTCACGGGGTATAATTTGCAGGTCCACACAGGAAGAACAGCTGGTACTTCTCAGAGTGGAACAAAAGGCAAGTCTGTGCCTTCCGTTCTGTGACGTGATATTATCAGTGGAGGGAGGGGAGACATGCCTGGAAAGTGCCCACGTTCAGAGGTTCCCATTGTTCTTCTGACCAAGTGTGTGGTGCCCACTGGCCAGCCCCTTCTATCTGGATGCCGCTGGTCTGTGGTAGATTGATTTTACTGTCTCTTCCCGAGAGGCTTAAAAGCCTTTTCATGGCAACCAGTATTAAAAACCACTGCCACCACCACCAGGCCCTGCTCTGAGGCTTGCTGGTGCCCACATCAGGCCACTTCTCCATTAGTGGGAGAAGATGGGACAGTCGAGGAATGGTTCTTGACTCTACAACCAACGGTGGACTAGGACTCAGCAGGAGGCTCTTGGCCCACAAGTCAACGGAGACCCACTTTAATCGTCCCTCAGTGCCTCTGTCAAAGACCGAAGGACAGTCGGAAACCTTGGAATGAAGAAGTAGCCTGGGCTCTGTCTCAGGGACCTGGTGCAGCTGTCACAGAAATGCCCCCAATAGAGTGGCTTTAGCAGTCAGACAGAGTTTCTCCCTGCTCGGGAGGCTAGGCGTCTGAAAACAGGGCAATGGCTCTGGTGTGTGGGGGGGGTGGCCTTCCCTCTCTGCCTGTTCGTGTTCCATTTCCACTTCTATTCCTAGCTTCCTTGGCGATCACATGCTTGCTTACTTGGCACTTAATTGGCAGTTACATAATCTGTTGTCAATCTGAGATTTAAGAGGAAGGGGTGGAGTCTGGCCTGTCCATCAGGTCGCAGCTTGATGACCTCATTTGGAGGCGCTAAGGAGAGAAATAGCTCACTGGAGGCGGGACAAACACCCCCTGTGAGACATTCCCCTGAGAAGATGTGGAGCTACGCTGGAGCCCTGGAGCTGGAGGAGCCACGTGGAGACCCCAGCCAGTGCTGAAATGCTTCCACCGCCACTGGATCCACAAGACTTTCCGCCCACTGGCCTGTGATCTTCCTGTATTCAGCATCATTGCATGTGTTGTGAGTCTGAGGAGGAATTTATAGATTGGTTTCAGACATAGGGCCTAATATTAGACTTATGGACTTGATCTGGACTGGGCTGGGGTGCTATCTCAATATATAATTGCTCTTTGAAAGAAAGTGCTCTCTTACACACGCGTGTCTATGAATTTGTTTCTCTAATCAACCCAGAGAAACACATGTTTCCACACCATCGAACCTGTTAGAGGCTGTCAATGGGACAGCCTCTTTCTCCAGGGCTCGAGTTTTCTGCCTCTGACAGGTGCAGGCTTACACCTTTTTGTCAGTCTCCATTAGTGGCAAATGTGAGGCGTTCCTTCTCTGATAGGTTCCTTCCTTACACCGGTTTTACTGTACCGCCAGAGAGATTGTTTTAAGAAACCCTGTTCTAACTCTGCCTCATTCACCTGGGCCAGCACAGCCCTTCCGGAATGGGATGAGAACCACCGGTGCTGTTGATTCCATTCTGACTCACAGCGGCTCTGTGCACAGAGAAGGAAGCCCTGCCAGGCCCTGCTCCGTCCTCACCCCTGTTCCGTGTCTGAGCCCATAGATGCAGCCAACATGCCAGCCCATCTGGCTGAGAGCGTTCCTCTCTCTTGCTGCCCCTCTGCTTTGCCAAGCATAATGCCCTTCTCCAGGGACTGGGCTTTATAATACGTGCTTTGTGTGGGGGGGCACAACTTACCAAAAGTTGGCAGTTCTAATCCACCCGGTGACCATGCAGAAGCCTGGTGATTGCTCCTGTAAAGATTATAGCCTCCAAAATGCTATGGGGTGCAGTTCTACTCTGTAACACACGGGGGCGCTGTGAGTTGGAATCCACACACAGAAATAGTTCGGTGGGTTTTTTTGTTTTTTGAGGGAGGTTTGTTTGTAGAACATCTTCATCTGGATAAAACTGACAAGGAATCGTCTCAATTTGTCACAATACAGAAAACTAATGAGAATAGGAGAGAGGAGAGGGCATTGGGATAAAGAAATAAAACAACCAGACAAACAGATTATACCAAAATCAGCCGTCTCTGCAAGACTTGCGTAAAACTCCCCTTGTTTGGTGGTGCTGGAGGAACCCTGGAGGTGCAGTGATTATAGTGCTCGGTTGTTAACCAAAAGGTCCAGGGTTTGAACCCTTCTGCTGTTTGATAGAGCTCTGCTTTCATAAAAATTTACAAAACCATAGGTAGCAAGTCTACTCCATCCTAAAGGGTCGCTATGCACCTGAATCTACCAGCCAGCAGTGCGTTTGCGTTTGGTTTGTGAGTGTGGAACCAGGAACTGCGACGTTGGGGGTTCAAACCCACCAGCCGCTCCTCAGGAGGAAGATGAGGCTGTCCGCTTCTGTCAAGATTCACGGTCTGGAAAATACTGCGGCAGTGGCTGGACTAGATGGCAGTGGGTGGCTGGGCTCGCATTGGACACAGGCATTGTGCCATCTGTGCCCAACACACCGAGTCAAGAAGTAGACCAGATCAGAGGGTCTTTGAATAAGCACACCGAGCACATGAGGGGGTTTCAGTTGGGGATAAGGATGCTTCCCGCCCATGTGGACTTGGTAATGAGCGAGCACCACCATGTCGAAGGTGCCAAGTCCCACAGGAAGCCTTGTAAGCCTTAGAAGGCGAGGGCTCTCAGCCTTCCCCTTACTCTGTCTGCATCACAAGGAGAGGGAAGAAACGCCTAAGAGAGTTCTCTCATTCTTACCTCATGCTGTCCTGAGGACTTTTTAAATTTTTATTTTAATCAATCATTTTCTTGGGGGCTCTTAGAGCTCTTGTAACAATTCATCCATCGATTGTATCAAGTGCATTTATGTTTATGTTGCCATCCACATTTCCCAATGTGCTGAGAACTTTCACAGGCTTGTTGGAAGCTCTCTTCTCAACTTCCCGGTGAGCAAGGAAATCGTCTTGCTCTCCTTCCTGCCGGTCCCCTCAGACCTAGAGGCGGCAGGTACAGGAGAGAAGAAGCAAGAGGTCTCATGAGCAGTGAAAGAGAGGCCTTAGCTGTCAAAGCCAGGAGATGACTGTGGGCCAAGCGGAGACAGAAGGGACCGTTGAAAGCCCTTGTGATGACATCTGCTCTTCACGGTGCTGTATGTTGCACTCACCATCCTATGACAGGGGCCCTGCAAGGAGAAGGGGTTCCCTCCAAACACTCGGTCAGGAACCACCCCGGAAGCGTCGCCTCTGAGGGGTCAGGGAGGCGAGCAGCTTCGTCATCGTCGACCTGCCCAAGTGCTGTTTTGTCTGGGCGAAAAGAAAAATCATGTACGAGCCCACAATAAAATGATTTAAAGGAAAAGAAAAATCATGCATATAGTTTTAACAGGTTCCCCCTTCGTCCTGCCCTGGCCTCCTCAGCTGACCCTCAGAGGGCACCTCCACAGGCTCTGCTGGCGGGGCACAGTCGGGAGATGCTGGGGGCCTCCAGCTTGGTCTCTTCGTGAGGCTTCTGTTCCCCTCTATTCAGCTCCAACCACCCAGCCTGTGGCAAGAGTTCGTCTTCTGGGATCTGGGATCACAGTTGGCCTCCTCCTGGAGGGGAGACGCACAGGGTCTCCTGGTCTAGAGGAGGAGGCAGGGTGTCCCGAGAACCCGAGAAGGAGCTGTGACCGCGGTGGTGACACACCCCAGCCTGACTGTGCCGGGCTGTGTGCCAAGCATGACCCATGCCTTACCTCGCTGACTCCCCACAACAGCCCCTCCCCTCGGCCAGCCCCTGTCACAGATGAGGAAGCAGCTAAACTTTGGGCGTTAAGATTGAATTTGGACTTTGAGCCCCACGCTCAGGGTCCACCCCACGACACACAGCCCATTCCATCTTTCAAGATTTCATTTGTGAACGGTGTAAGCGGCAGAGGTAGAGAATGTTTTGACACAAGCTTGGCTACTTCTGGATGTGTTCTGGCGGCTGGCTGCCCTCCAGACACTGAGAGAAGCTCAGAGGGGAGCGGGAAGGGTGGAGGGGAGAGACGTTTAGAATTGGGCAGAGGTGGGAAAGGCTGGTAGCAGCTACGCCCTGCCTTTGGGTCCTGATAAAGTCTAGTCACCCTTCACTGGAGCCTGGGGAGGCCCCCACGTCAAGTGGGTCTGAGTCAGCTCACCAGGGGTGCAGGCTGCCCACAGAGACGGGTGCCTGCTCTGGATTAACCAACTAATGCCACATGTAGTTGACAATCCAGGTGGCACAAGGGCCCCAGTAGAGCGGATGGTTCAGGTGGTGGAGCTGTGTCCAAGAAGGACAATCGTCAAACCATGGACATAGGGAGTCCCTGTCGTGAACTAGAGAACATAAACAACATGCCGAGAGGCGGGAAATCTGGGGGGAAATGCTTCAACTCGCCAGAGGTCACCTCTGTAGGGCTCAGGTTTTTGTCTGTCTGTCTGTCTGTGAGCACGCTGAGTTCTGTGCATGTCTACAACATTCCAGTGGCGAGCGGTGCCCATACAAGGCTTTGGAACTGGAATGCCAAGTGAAACGTATCCTTTGAAAGATAGGCGGCTTCTCAGGAGCATTCTGGCTGTACTCCTTCCAAGAAGCGTGTCCCTCTGGCTATCTGTGGGACTTTGGATATGCTCGGCCAACACCGTCCTTCAGACACATCGATTCTTCTTCTGCCTTCCTCATTCAATGCCCACCATTCACATGCATTTGAAGTGATTGGAAATAACCCTGGCTTGGATCAGGCCTTGTGCAGCAGAATTTGCCCAGTGCACTCGGTCCCAGTCCTGCTTTAGGTCTGGAGTTCAAAATGATCAGCAGGGTATTCAATGGAATGAACCCGTACACTGCCTTGCTTCGAAAACAATCAGATTTCAAAAGCAACTTCTACCCCTGGGTTACTAGGAAGCACGCACTCATCGTAAAGGAGCTTGTCCGGTTGTGTAAGATTAGTTATTAAAGAGATGCTGTCAACCAGATAAAAGGTTATGCCCATTTGCGGCTCGAAGAACCAAAGGGTTTGTCCCTTGGACTTTGTGCACTGCTGCTTGGGTATCAGCTTCAGAAGAAAAAGAACTTGGGAAAACTGAGCGATTTTTGAATCGTTTTTAGTGTGACTGTATCAGAGCTAAGATGGAAAACATTTTGACAAATTTTGATAGCTGCTCTGTCTTCCTTATTCTTCGGTTTAGGGAAGCAGGGTGCTGTTACACTTTGGACACCGTGCACAAGGGAGTCTGGGTAGGGCAAAGTAACAGAAAATGCATGGGAAGTAGAGGAGGGCGAAAATAACCCCGCGGGGGGGCTTCCTGGAAGAGGAAAGCCGAGAATAAGCCATGGAAGTGGTCATTTTGGAAGCAGGGGAGAGCAGGGAGGAGGACATCTGAGGTGGGGCGGGGGTCCCACTGAAGGACAGACTATCATGGGGGCGCTCTCCCCTTCCCTCTTTCCCTGAGAGAGGGGTGGGGTCTCCGCCATCAGTTGGGGCCCCGACTCTGAAGGACAGGACAGCTGGCTCAGCCTACGCCAACTCTGGACTCTGCCCAGGAGTTTCCTGCTGGAGAAAAAGGCAGGCCAGGTGCAGCGGCTGGACTCAGCCCATTGGCAGCAGTGGGCTCCGCTGCCGCTCCTGAGAGTGACTGGTGCCCCACAGACTGTGAGTAGGAATATAACCCGGTTCCTCTTCTTGTGGCCGGAGTGTGT